CCCAGGGAAACATCAGATCACAAAATGGGTTGGTTTTTTAGCATTCCCGACTCAGGACACTACTAATATACGTTTCTCCTTCTTCTTCCTTTATTTATTTATTTCTTTTATTTTATAACAAAACTTAATTTATGAGCCAGACTAAACACTGCTTACTCTCCTCCTTTATTTTATCCCCTAGGACTCCAAGATCCCCCTCACAGTCACTACTGTTGAGCAAGGTACCATATATCTATATATATATTGTATTATTGTGGTTTTAGCCTCCAGTCCCCGAATCCCCTTTCTTGCTCTTCTCTGCACTCGTTCTAGATCTCCCCCTTCAGGTCTAGGGTGATGTTATTAAGGCATGATCGTATTAGCCCATCTCACCACAGGGAGTCTGGGAACTCAACCAATCTTGGAGCTCAAAAAGGCTCACAACCTACAAAAGTAGCTCTGGGAGTCTGACAACCAATCCGAATACATTTCTGATACAGGAACGGGGAAACAAGAGAGGTGGGGCCGAACAGAGAGTATAAAAAACCCAGGAACTCTCAGCAAGCCCTTCCCCTCTCTTCTTCTTCTTCTCCACCCAACATCTGGAAGCATGGGACCCCCCCTTTTCTGTTCAGGAGCAGAAGCCATGCGATGCTGTCCACCATTAAACCCTCTTTCCAAGAGGCCTCCGTGTTTCCAGTGTCTTTTTTGCCCCACTTGGAGCTGAACCCAGAAGTTCATTTCTTCCAACCCCCAAAAGGAGAAATGGGGGAAACGTGTTCTTAGAGGCAGAAAGCAGCCCCCAGCCTTCCTTCATAGCCTCCAGCAGAGGCCTGAAGTCTTTAGAGATGGAGATTTTTGTGCCCATTAAGAAAGATCGGGTCAGTTTCCTCCCAAACAAAAACACCTTCACCCTCCAGGAGATGGGGATTAAGGAGGACAGGACATGACCTTTAACCCCACTCATTGAGAAAAGTGGAAACAACACCAGTCCAGTAAAAAAAGGCAGGCTGGAGGCAACAGATAACAGGATAAAATCAATTATACATGCTCGACTAGACTAGACTTTCTCTCCTTCTTTAGTTTCCATTCATTCCTCCTTGTCCTGCCTTCAGGTGCTTTGGAGAAGTTGTCAGAATAACAGAATAAAAGAGTTAGAAGAGACCTTGGAGGTCTTCTAGTCCAGCCCCCGGCTCAAGCAGGAGACCCTAGACCAGTGATAGCGAACCTTTTCCGGGCCAAGTGCCCAAAGGGTGCGTGTGCATGCATGAATGCGCGCGTGCTAGAATCACCAATTTTCAATGCGTGTGTGCCCCCGTGCATGCGCCTCCCCCGCACATGCCCCGCCCCTGTGCATGCAGATGCAGCTCCCCACATGTGCTCCGCCCCCCTGTGCATGCACGCATGGTACTCAGCATCTCTGTCTCTCTTCTCTTCTTCTCCCAACATCTGGAAGCATCTGGTGACACCCCCCCCCCCTTTTCTGCTCAGGGGCTCAAGCCACGTGATCCTGTCCACCATTAAACCGTCTTTCCAAGCAGCCTCCGTGTTTTCCAGTGTCTTTTCCCCCCACTTGAAGCTGAACCCAGAAGGGTGTTTGTACAACATTTTCTCAAGAGAGTCAAGGACACCCTGCCCTGCGCCTGGAGTGGGGTGACTGGGAGGCGTCTCCAGTTGGGACGGTGCATTGATTGGGCCATGGGACGGACACGTGGGGGCAGGGGAAGGGGCTCGGGCTTTCCTCTGGGTGGGGAAAACCTGGGAGCTTCCAGATTCGGGTTTCCCCAGATGTGCCAATGTGACGAATAAAATGGGACTTTGAGGAAACTCCAGCCTCGGAGTCTTCCTTCGTTGGGGGTGTCGCTTGGGACCCTGACAGGGAGGGGACGTGTTCACCTGACGTCCACCAGGGTGGAGGTGGTCCCCATGGGACTGGTCAGCGAGATGGCCAGGTCTCCCCTCCGGCTGTAAGTGAGCGACAGTTGCACCTGGACGTGCTCCAGGGAACGGATGCCTCGGTGTCTCCTCTGGAGGCAGGGGGAGGACGAGACGTTCTGGGAGACGGACAGTCGTGAACCGATGGCCCTGGCGGAAAACGGAGAAAGAGGGAAGGAGGTTCAGCTCAGGAGGAAGGGCCTAAATACGAAATAGTCCCCAATGTCAGGTTTCCGAAAAATGCCCTAGTTGATTCATAAGCATCGAGCCAAGTTTTCAATACCAAAAGCGGTGATTTATTAGGAGCTCCATTAGGCAAGATCTGTTCGCAGCCAAGCCTCTGCTTGGTTTGATTTATTGCTGAACTTTACCCCTGTTCATTCCCTCTCCTCAGTCTGTGTCATAAATCACATTACCCTATAAGATGCACCCCTCCCAAACCGGCTGCAGTAATCTGAGATCTGACTCCAGCCGACAGTATGCATGGAATGCACTTCCTCCCCCATTCTGTCCCCATGACAACACTGAGTGTTGAAACTCGACTTACGACCGCAACTGAGCCCAAAAAATCTGTGGCAGAGTTGTTAAGCGAGTTTTGCTCTGTTTTACGGCAATTGTGAAGTTAGTAACCTGGTTGTGAAGCGAATCCAGGTTTCCTAAGGATTCCAAATTGTCGGAAAGTCACTAAGGGAATCATGTCACCCCTGGGACGCTGCGACCGTCATAAATACAAGTCAGGGGCCAAGCGGCAGAATTTTGATCGCGTGACCATGGGGATGCAGCAAGGGTCTTAAGGGTGAAAGGCCGTCAGAAGGCTGTCATTTTTTTCCAGGGCCGTTGTTAACTTCGATCACTAAAGGTAGTGTTGTAAAGCCGAGGACTTCTGGTAGTTTTGCAGGAGAAAAGTCCTGCTAGATTATGAGCTCTAGAATCGATCACAAAGCCCATGTTCCAGGTCAAGGGGAAGGCCAGGTTTCCCCTGCCCAGTCAGGGCCGACTTTAGGGGGGGGGTGCCCATACATTCGGGTCTAGTGTAAACTGAAGTGGGATTCTATACAGTGGTTGTTGGGTGTGTATCAGGAGTGTGACAGAGGGGGGGGGGAAATGAGAGAGAAAGAGAAGGATTGGGACAGAATGTGAGAGAGAATGAGCGAGAAAGAGATTGAGAGAGATTGAATAGAGAACGAGAAAGAGAGACTGAGAGAGAAAGAGATTAAGAGAGAATGAGAAACAGAATGAGTGAGAGAACGAGAACGAATGAGAAAAAGAGAATGAGAAAGAGAGAGGAAGAGATTAAGAGTGAGAGAATGAGAAGGATTGAGAGCAAAAGAAACAGAATGAGAGATTGTGAGAATGAGAGGGAATGAGAAAGAATGAGAGAAAGAGAATAAGAAAGAGAAAGAAATTAAGAGAGAGGACTGAGAAAGAATGAGAAACTGCATGAGAGAACGAGAGAACGAGTGAGATTAAAAGAATGAGGGAATGAGAAAGAGAGAATGAGAGAAAAAGAGGATGAGAGAGAATGAGAGAGAGGAACGAGAGAGAGGGAATGAGAAGGATTGAGAGAGAATGAAAAACACTATGAGAGAGAGATTGAGAGAAAGAGAATGAGAAAGAGAGGAAGAGATTAAGAGAAAGAGAATGAGAAGGATTGAGAGCGAAAGAAACAGAATGAGAGATTGAGAGAATGAGTGGGAATGAGAAAGAATGAGAGAAAGAGAATAAGAAAGAGAAAGAGAAAGAAATTAAGAGAGGGGACTGAGAAAGAATGAGAAACTGCATGAGAGAACGAGAACGAGTGAGATTAAAAGAATGAGGGAATGAGAGAGAATGAGAAAGAATGAGAGAAAAAGAGGATGAGAGAGAATGAGAGAGAGGAAGGAGAGAGGGAATAAGAAGGATTGAGAGAGAATGAAAAACACTATGAGAGAAAGAGAGAAAGAGAATGAGAAAGAGAGAAAGAGATTAAGAGAGAGAGAATGAGAAGGATTGAGAGAATGAGAGAAAGAGAGAGAATCCCCAATGTCTTCTTACCTTGCTTTGTAGACCACCTGAATGAAGCACTTCCGCTGAGGCGGAGTCCTCGGCCACCTCTTGGCCATCTCCACCAAGCGCCCGCCGTTCAAGAGCCCGTACCCGTAGTAGTGGCTGACTGAGAGGAGAAAGGGCCGCTCAGGGGAACCGCCCTGCCCTCTGGAAGCCATCCTGGCAGAGGCAGTGGGCAAGTTCACCACACAGCCAGAGAAACGGGGCCCTCCACGCATCCGGGGGCCAGGGGAGGGGCACGAAAAGCCCCCTTCAAGGGGAACCCCGTGGCTGCCATCTTGGTCCTTTGGCTGCTCTCACGCCAGAGGTGGGATTCAGCCGGGTGCGGACGGTTCAGGCGGAAGGGCAGTGGGCATCCCCTCCGATATCGCTGTGCTTTTGACGTCGCAGGCATGTGTGGACGGCACCCGCAAGCAGATTGCCCTGTTTTCTGACACTATTTCCGATGCAGGGCGAACCGGTAGTGACAGTAAGTGAATCCCACCTCTTACACACAGACACACATCCACACACCCACCCTGGCACACCCACACACGCACACACGCACACACACAGAGAGCGGTATATACACACACACACACACAGAGCAGTATACACACACACACACACACACACACACAGACACACACCCCGGTATACACACATATATATACCGGTGAATACACAAACCCCAACACACACACACAAAGCGGTACACACACACACACACACACACAGAAAGAGAGAGAGCGGTATACACACACACACACACCCCACACACACCGGTATACACACACACACACACATACTGGTGCATACACACACACACAGCAGTACACACACACACACCTCGGTATACACACATATATATACTGGTGAATACACAAACACACAAACACAAAGCAGTACACACACACACAGAAATAGAGAGAGCGGTATACACACACACACACACCGGTATACATACACACACATATACTGGTGCATACACACAGAGCGGTACACAAACAGACACACACACACACACACACACACACACACTGGTAATACACACATATATATACTGGTGAATACACAAACACACAAAGCGGTACACACACACACAGACACAGAAATAGAGAGAGTGGTATACACACACACACACACACACACACACACATACCGGTGCACACACACACAGAGCAGTACACACACAGACACACACACAGAGCGGTACACACACAGACACACACACAGAGCGGTACACACACACACACAGAAAGAGAGCAGTACACACACACACACACCGGTATACACACACACATATATACTGGTGAATACACAAACACACACACACAAAGCCGTACAGAGAGAGAGAGAGAGAGAGAGAGGTATACACACACACACATATACCGGTGTATACACATACACACAAACACACACAGAGAAAGAGAGAGAGCGGTATACACACACACACACACCGGTACGCACACACACATATACTGGTGCATACACACATACACAGCAGTACACACAAACAGAGAGGGAGAGAGAGAAAGAGAGAGAGTGGTATACACACACACACATACCCCGGTATACACAAACAAACACACACACACATATACCGGTGCATACACAAACAAACACACACTCACAAAGTGGTACACACAGAAAGAGAGACAGCGGTATACACACACACACAAACAAACCGGTATACACACACACATATATACCGGTGTATGCACACACACAGATGTACACACATACACCAGTACACACACACACATATACCGGTATACACACACACATATACCGGTATACACACACATATATACCGGTGCATACACGCACACACACGCACACAGCAGTACACAGAGAGAGAGAGAGAGCGATACACACACACACAAAGACACACACAGCAGTACACACTCACACAGAGTGGTACACACACACACACACACACACACAGAACGATACAAACACACACACACACACACACACACACACAGCAGTACAGACACACACACGGGTCTCCTGTGGTTGTGTGTGAGGACTCAGCCTTCCCCACCCGAAAGAGGGTCGGGGTCTTCCCGGAGAAGGGCTGGGCCCAGCCTCACCTTTGCGCCCGACTCCATTCAGGACCCAGTCGTCCGCCTGCAGGTGGGCCGGGCTGGAAGCTCTCACCACCAGGTGCTGCATGTCCCTCCAGGTCAGGGCTGGGCTAGGAGCACAAAGGGAGGGGAGGGGAGGGGAGGGGGGGGAGAGAAAACCACCCGGACTGTTGCTATGAGGTCCGTGGCCTGCAAGGTGGGAGGGAGGGAGGGGCAGGTTTCCCCAGGTTCCTCCGACCTTGAAGAATAGAATAAAAAGGCAAAGCTTCCCCTCACACATACTGCATGTGCCTGTCATTCCCGACTCTAGGGGGCGATGCTCATCCCCGCGTCAAAGCCGAAGAGCCAGCGCTGCCAAAGACATCTCCGTGGTCATGTGGATGGCGTGACTCAACGCCACCAAAGGTGGTTCCTGTTTTTCTACTTGCATTTTTACCTCCTTTCCAACTGCTAGGTTGACAGAAGCTGGGACAAGTCACCTGAGCTCACTGCCTTCTAGCAATAGCAACAGCAGTTAGACTTATATACCGCTTCATAGGGCTTTCAGCCCTCTCTAAGCGGTTTACAGAGTCAGCGTATCGCCCCCAACAACAATCCGGGTCCTCATTTCACCCACCTCGGAAGGATGGAAGGCTGAGTCAACCTTGAGCCGGTGAGATTTGAACAGCCGAACTGCTGATCTAGCAGTCAGCTGAAGTGGCCTGCAGTACTGCACTCTACCCACTGCACCACTTCGGCTCTTAGCAGTTAGACTTATATACCGCTTCATAGGGCTTTCAGCCCTCTCTAAGCGGTTTACAGAGTCAGCGTATCGCCCCCAACAACAATCCGGGTCCTCATTTCACCCACCTCGGAAGGATGGAAGGCTGAGTCAACCTTGAGCCGGTGAGATTTGAACCGCCGGACTGAAGTAGCTGAAGTAGCCTGCAGTGCTGCATTTAACCACTGCGCCACCTCGGCTCTTGGTATAATGGCCTGGTTCACTCA